TAGGTAGAATGAAATCAATTTGATTCCTGATAATTCTTGCTTCTTCATCTGCATGTGATTTCCAAGTATTCTGGGATGCTGTTCAAAAAAGGTGTTGGCTTTCAAGAGGTTGTTCTCTACACAGATTGTAGAATTGTACAAGTCTATCTCCCCTGTTGTTTCTTGAGTCAAGACCGTATGTCACTAAGTATGTTGTGTTCTTCAGCGCCACGGCCAATTTTGGCATCTTAGTCTTTAATGATCATCGTTATCTTTCCCCTCTTTCTCAGTCAGCCTGACCAATTTTTAATCCTGCTTGAATTCCAAAATTTGATTGTAGGCTGCCATTTCTAAAAGTTTTTAATGTACAGGAAATGTATAATAATATGTCGAAGATAGGGGGAGTTTGAGAGGTGATGTCACTGATGTGTTTGAGAATAAAGGTCGTATGAAACGCTCCCACAGTTTTATTTGAAAGTTTACTTTTATACCTCAAAATGAACTAAACTTATACTAAAGTAAGTATCTAATGTAATATGAAGCATTTTCACAGAGTTGTGGTATCATGAAACCATTTGACACCGGGTTACTCTCTGGTCTGTCATTAACGACAGTTGAAACCAATTAGTATCAGAAGGTTTTTGGTATCATTTCGCCGTCGTTGTTTCTTGCTGTTAATGTTAATGTGAATACAGCTTGAAATAAGCACCAAATGTGATACTGGAATGTCACAAAATAATATCCCTGTTAGAAAAGGTGTTTTATTAACATTATGGTGGTTGGCGAAAGGAGAACGCTATTTTCATGTACAGATAGGTTCAGTGTCGGAATATGTGCATATGTCGGAAAAGCTGACTTTTGAGCATTATCGAACAATAAACTCACTAAAATAACTAAATTATCATAGCACAAAACTAAACCAAATCGGCGAAATTCGGCATCCATTCATTCAATTACATAAATAAGCCAAAATCTAACCTCAACACCTGCTACCGCGTTTTCATACCATCATCCCGAGATGGTTAAAAGATTGACGGACCGAATTGAAACCAGGTTGTCAAATGACATACCGAAACACTTCGTGAAAACAAGTGGTATGTAATGGTTCATACCACATTCATACCAAAACTCAAAATTCGTGAAAACGCTTATGGTATCAGGTGTAAAAATTTTTGGGTAAAATCGTCGGAGTCAAAATGTCAGATAGGCATCTGCGATAGGCATTTCGGAAGTGAAATTACTTGGACACATTATCGGACAATCGGGTATAAGAATGGACAGTGGCCAATATAAAGGCTACTTATATATTAGACTTTGAAGAACCCAAAACACTGACAAATATGAGGCAGTTTCTTGGTATGATGAATCATCCTGCAGATGAAACAAAACCTCTACTCGAATTTTTAAAATGTAACAATACTTTTCAGTTTAATAATATCCATCAATAGTGTTTTAATAAATTAAAAATACTTGTCACAAGTGCACCAGTTTTGAAGGCTTATGAAGTTACTAAAGAAACAAGAATTCTCGCAGACTCGAGTTCTTTCGGAATTGGTGGCTGTTTAGAACAGTTACAACCAGATGGGAGATGGACTCCTGTTATTTATTGTTCAAAAAGTTTAAGTGAAACCACCGATATCAAAACTAAACAAAGAACGCTTCTAATGCTGCTAATTTACGAGGTCATAATGTAAATAAAAACAACTGACTGGGACAGCTGTGAGCGTGCGCAGTAGATACATGTACTGTGCATGCACAAAATCTGGTCAATGAAAATGAAGGGATTTCAAAATTAAGAACAGTTGTTCGAAAGATAAGACACTGCGCAGGCGTTAGGCTGTTCCGTTGCATAACTGTTCGTAGAATATTGTCCCCAAATTTTCGCACAAGTTTAGCCAATCGAGCCGTACGATTGTTTATCCATTTATTTTTTAGATCAGTGAGTGAAACACAATAACGCTATACTCAAATTGAAAAGGAAGCATATGCTATTGTATGGGTATGTGAAAGACTGGAAGAGTACCTATCTAATAGGTAAATCATTTACCAAACATACATACAAACTGATCATTTACCATTTTTGAGTATCCTGAAGAAGAAATCTATAAATGATTTGAATGTAAGATTGCAACGATTTAGACTTAGATTAACTAGATTTATATTTGAGTTTGAACATGTCGCTGGAAAAAAATTCTATGCATAGGTACCAGATACGTTATCAAGACAATCACTGAAACAGATAGATAATGGAGAAGATGTATTGGAAGAAGAAGTTCAATGCTATGTAAATGTCATAAGGATAGAAACTGAAGATAACTTGAAGTTAACACCCTAAATGGTTGAAAAATCACAGCAAGAGAGTTTCAAAAACTTAGTGAATATCTAATGCAGGGATGGCCAGAAAACGCATCACAAGTAACTGAGACATGTCAAAAATATTTCAAGTATCGTAATGAAATTAAGTATTATGGCAGTTTGTTGTATTACAAAGATAGGCTTATAATTCCTTCATCTATGTACAGAGAAACTTTTGAATCAAATTCATATTGGACATCAAGACATAAATGGATGCGAATCTAGAGGAAAACATACTGTATGGTGGCCCAATATTAATAAATCATATCATAGAAACAGTACAAAATTGCCATGAATGTTTGAAGAATCAGAATCAGGTAACAGATCCTATGACACCGACCAAAATTGCCAGGCTCACCATTTCAGCATGTATCAGCAGAATTATTCCAGTACATAAATCAAGTCTACCTTGTCATACAGGATGTGTACTCAAAATATCCACAAGTTATTACACTAGAGAAAACTAAAAATGAAGACATAATTGAAAAATTGAGAGAAATCTTTGGACGTTATGGAATTTCAGAGATATTATTATACTCAGACCAGTGGACTGGAAACTGGTTGACCATGAAAAAGTTAGGAAGAAGCAGAGAGAGGAATTAGAAAATGCAAAGAAAAATTATGACTGTAGACCTAAGTCAAAAATTTTAATAGTGGAGGTTTGGTAGCTTTCTCTCTCTTTTTGTCTCATGTTCAAATAAACATTTCAAAGTCAAAATGTACCAAACGCCCAATCCACTGAATTCGGATGAGATTGTTGAGCTACGTCACTTATATACCAATTGGTTAACCATTCGCTTACCAAACAGCAGATGAAAATCTGGGGCGAAATCGCCTTTAGTTTACATAAAAGATGTGAAATGTATAATGGAAACAATGTAAGACAATGTCGAAAACCAAATTCATGTATGGTCCAGACCGAAGATGATGTTCTAAGGAGAAACAGAAAATTTTTGGTAAAACTACCTGAAATCAAAGAAAAGAATTTAAACATTAAGAAGAAAGAGAAAAGCGTAAATACTACAGAGATACAAAAATATGTAGAACCTGAAGGAAGACAAAGACGAGAAAAACGAAGATCAAAAAAATTTGATGTAATTGTAATGTAAAATTTGTTTACTTTAAATGAGGGAAATGGCTGTGTGCACATCAACGATGTAGAGAAGAAAAAGACAAGGGAGACCCCAGTGTGTATTCTGTGCATAAATTTTATTGAATAGCAGAGCGCTTTCGGCCGTAGGCCATCTTCAGTGCTTCCTGAAAGTAATCAAATAACCTGAATGAGATTTTGAAGGTTGTAACTAGTTGAGTTGATTAGCTAATCGGTTATTACTTACTTTGTCAGGAGTACATCGAAGTCAGAAATTGTAAAAGAGCACCACATACTTAATGGAACGAACATACATTTAAATTATTGCAAAACATTAAACATTTAGGTGTAAAAACATTTGTTTACTTTAATTCAAACTTCTTTGTTGTTATTGTTAGTTGACATTCAAAGTTTTAATTACTTAATGTTTTGTTAAACTCCGTAAATCTTCCTTTGGTAATGTACTACCTACCTATATATTTTGAAATATTTTTTCAAAATTAAAAGTATAGGAGATGTATAATAATATGTCGAAAATAGGGGGAGTTTGAGAGGTGATGTCACTGATGTGTCAGAGAATAAAGGTCGTATGAAACGCTCTCACAGTTTTATTTGGAAGTTTACTTTAAAACCTCAATCCTATAATATACCTTAAAGTATCTAATGTAACAGTATTGGTCACATTTCAACATACTTTTTTGTTCTTTTCACTTAAGAGATAGGAGTTATACATGATAATTTCAGCACTTTTGGAAATTGTCCAATTTCTAGTACCTATATTAATGAAATTGATGATCTCTGAATAATCTCGACCCCGCCTTTTAAGGATCGTTTAATTACCATCTTGATTCTGTGCAGCTGATTTTAATCGCTTTATTGGCATCTATTTTTCATCTTTCTGGTAAAATTTCACACGCTATCGAATTAACCGCTCGTATACTTGGCTATCTGGATCGCAGATTATCAAATTAAGTAGGTGGTTTACTGGCTGTTAACATGAGATAAGGTTGATTGCTTCTGTCTTGATATGACCGCTGAAAAGATTTTGATAAAGGTATTTTTGAATTTTACGTTCAATTTGAAACAGCTTCTATTGTATTTCTTCCCAAAAGCTATGAAATAGATATTTGTTTCCATCAGAGGGAGCTCGAAATATTTAATGGGCCACTCCATTGTTCTTCCTCCATGAGGCATTCAATCAACCCAAACCTGGAAAATATCTAGGAGCCGTAATGTATAAATTAATTGTTCAATTTAGCAATAGCTCAATAACATAACACTGATAAAGGTAGAGTGAATAAATAGGTTTGAAAATTCCAATCAATTTGTATAAAAAATTCATTTGAGATTTCTATTTCTCTAGAACATTTTCAGAAGTGATCACAAAAGCCAAGCAACACTGAACAGAGGCATTAATGTTATTAATGGCCAAGGAATCTGTAATGTTGATTTTGTCTGGATCTAGAAGTAAAGCACAGAAATCGAATCTACCATTGCCAAAAGAAACATTTAATACCTTCTACAAAATGAACTTGGAAAATGATTACCCTAAAAACTTCTTAGTTATCCAGCGCACAGAGAATATCCTCTTTTATAGCCTTATTCTCTAGAGGATGACATCTTAAGTCGAACGATTTCATATTTCTTGTCAGCTTTTAATCCAGCTTTACTACTATACTTAACTTTAAGATGGGTACGGTTACTTTGTTAGTTACATGAACATTATATCAAAGAATCTTGATATAAAGTTGACAAAATTTATGAAACACTAAACTAAAAAGGCCGATAGTAAAAAAACACAAATTACAACCGAGACCGCAACCCTGAACGTCTATTGTCTGTCTGTTCTGTCTGTTAGGATTTGAAATATTTAGCACGTAAAACTTCTCCAAAACTTTCTCTCAGCGAAGGAGAACGTCGAAAATTTCGTATAATTTATGTTCCAGACGGCTCTCTCGGAGATCCAGTGGATGTAGAACTATTGACGTTTATAGTTCTAGGATTTCTTCGGGAATTTGTAATTTTTTAACGTGACATAAAATATAGTGAGTGACAATTTTTGTATTAACTGTTAATCTTTTTCAAAAATGATGACCATTGTCAAATTATACATCCATTACCTACAATGTATCTTAAAAGTTTTTTTTTTCAATTGTTTCCATTCATTGTTAATATAATTACAATAATGATTTATTCCGTCGTATGTTTGGGATAATTAACCAGGTGAATAATGAATGATATTTTTGCTTCTGGTTTTTAGATAATTAATAACCTGTTAAATATCCATAGCAAAAGTTGACTGACTGAAAAGGTTACATCAGAAAATCTGGCAAATTCATTTGATTCCTTCCAGGTGACCCATCCAAACTCCTCTTGGAACATTTTAATGTTCATAACTCAGAGTTGCTTAAGTTCTCCGACAAAACTACTCATGCTGGAAGGATTGCCATTTCACACGACCTACCGTAGTTGGTAGAAGAGCCCTCACGTATTCCCGATTCCGTTTCTCAACAGGCCAACTGACTTGAATTGTTCCTTACCACTAATCCAGATCCTTATATGATCGATGTGTTTGCACCTTTAGGCAAATTAGACCACAAATTTATTTTCGCTCAAAAATATAAACATGGATTTGCTAATACGTCAGTTGTTATTGGAACTTGACTCTCGAAAAGATGGCGAATTCAGAATTGTAGCATTGAATATCTCAAAGGCCTTTGATCTGGTGTGGCACAAAGGTTTCCTCAGCAAACTTACATCGTATAGTCTTCCAAACGTATTTTGCCATTGGCTGGGAAGCTTTTCGGAATGCAGGTCACTCACTACATGTTGGCCGATGGTTACAAGACAGTTAAACATTTTTATATGGTGAACTGGGAACAAAATAACATAAAACTGCGACTAGTCTCAATCGATAGGATTTATGTTCCTAATGAACACATTAAAAGTCCCCATCCCTCCCTCGAGGGAATCATTGTCAAAATAGCGTTGCCATCTTGAATTTTTGTAATTTTTTGCTTAATTTACGTTTTACTTAAAATCTATTCATTTTTGTACTTACATTAATCGCTTGTCAAGCCCCTGTTAGTTAACATAAACCTCAGATTGTGTCAATGACAATATGATATTGTTTTTGTGTGGCACAATCTAAGATTATTGTTAGTTAACAAGGACTCAATAAACGATTGATCTAGCCGCACTTACTGAGCTATACAGGGTGAGTCCGAAATAAGTGCGCATTCTGTTATGATAGATAGAGTACAGTAGGACAATCACTTTTTGCATAGTGTCTGCAAACGTCTCGTTAAGAAAATACAGAGTATTGAAATTTTCGGAAATTTTTGACTTTTTGCCTTTAGATTCGAAATGCCTTGAGCAATTTTGTTCAAATTTTTAAAGTGTTAACGATGTTCTCAAGCATCTTTCTAGAAAATCCGTGTAATTTCCACTTTTCCAGGACCGGTCCTAGAGCAGTTTATCGGAAATTATTGAAGAAGGCTAATTTTAGTAATGTGCTTGACAACCGGTAACAACGGAATTGTTTGTTTGTATTGTCATATTGTTAAAGTTGAATTCACCAAGGGCCGATACTTTTGTTCTCGATTAACAAATTTGATACGTTGTCAAAATTTTGCATGGGCCAAGGTCTATACATATAAGTATAATGTTTTTTTTTTTTTCAGACTTCAAATCAGTTACATATAACTGGCATCGAGGCCTTGAAAAAACTAATTAACAATAATATGTAAGATTCCTAAATACTGCTCTTTATACATATTTCTTAAGGTTATGGCTCACTGTCTTTGGTGTCAGGAACTGCATTAAATTCCTGCACACTTCTATACACTGGGGAGTCTTGTCATTTTTTTGTTCTTAAAAAATTATTACGCACTGTTTCTTTATTTCTCACATTGTATTTATGGAAGTCTTTATTTTGTTTTAGGTCAACTCTTGTTTTTAGTAAATTATTTTGAATTTTATAAATGAGTTTTATTTGTTCTAGGTTTCTTATCTCTTTCACTTGTTTGATTGTACAAAGTGTCACTGTAGCCTATTTAGGAGGCCAACACTAGCATTGCCCCAGCACGCTAGTAGATAGCGTAGGTGAGGTTCAACAAAGCTGTTATACATTAAGTTGTTTTTGTGCTTAGTTGGTGGTTACACCTTCTTATTACGCCTATAAATGGAGTGATTTCTGGTATGACTTTTTCTGTATGTCCCTGCCAAGTTAATTTATCTGATATCACTAGTCGCAAGTATCTGTACTCTTGCACTCTTCTAAGCTCTAATTGATTTAGCTTTATAGTTGAACCACATACTGTCTCTTGCCTTTTTGATGGATCAACATATACACAGTTTTCTTCACATTAACAGTTAATTTGTTATAGCATAACTAATCATAGTATAGTCCAAGATCATCATTAATGATTTCTTCAATTTCACATACATTTTTTCCAGAGTACATTAGGACAGTGCCATCAGCAAACATAATATAGTCAGATTTTAGTCCCACATGCTTTAAACTGTGGACATATAAAAGGTACTGAAGCGGTCCAAGTACTGAACCCTGTGCGACCCCTACTTTTTCAATTTTTTCTTCACTACTTCCACCATTTACAACTGTATAGTGTTTTCTTCCAGTTGAATATGTCTTAAGGAGATTATAGCATGTTCCTGTAAGTCCCATTTTATAGAGATTTTGGAGCAGTAGATCAACGTCAACTGTGTCTTTCTTCAAGTCACTGCCACAACTTATTGATTTTTGTCTATTTTACTTGATATATGTTCTAATAAATCAACCGTGGCTCCCAGGGTACTGATGTTTTTCTGAAAACCATACTGTCTTTCATCAAACTTGAAATTTGCTTCAACAAAGTTGTTTATTCTTATTTTTATTATCTTCTCTATTATTTTGGCGATAGTAGGGATATGGGTCTGTGGTTGCTTACGTCATTATGGGCTCCTTTTTTTGTATATTGGCACGATTTTTGCTGTTTTTAATTCTTCTGGATATATTCCACTTTCCAATGTTTTGTGTATGAGTTCAACAATTTTTGGTCCAACGGTGTCAAAAACTAGAGTTAAGTCATTTTTTACTATGTTGTCTTTGCCAGGTTCAGAGTGATTTTTTAGTTCGTTTAGTATGTTCCTTACTTCTTCAAGATTTGTTGTCTTCAGTGTTAGTTTTTCCATTATTTCTTCTTTCTTAAATTTTTTACTAGCATTTGGTTGTATCTGTGAGGCCAGGGTTTACCTATGCTTGCAAAATGGTTATTAAACTGCTCGGCCATTTCAAAGTTATTCTCTGTCTCTGCTTCATCCCTTCTTGTTATTTTTGTAATGGTTTTCTGCTTATTGACATTTCTGTTACACAGGTCATTTAGGACTTACCATGTTTTCTTCGGATCACTTTCTGCTTCATGAAATTTCCTTTCGGCATACTGTCTTTGTAATGTTTTCTGAAGATTATTTAGTGCATTTTTGGCTCTCTTGTATTCTTTTGTGGCATATTCGTTTTTTGCTCTTTTCATCCTAACATAAAGTTTATCTTTTTCTTGGAGTTTTTTAATAAACTTTTTTGTGACCCAGTAATTTTGGTTTCTTATTTTCAGTGTTCGTTGTGTTGTACAGGTATTCTTAGTATCATTTATTGCACTGGTCAGTTCTTCAAAGGTATTTATGATTATTTTTGTAAATTCTTCTTTGAAGCAAATTTGCCAATGATCCGTATCCAGGTTTCTTTCTTTACCTGAATAAAAACAACTTTGTGGTCGGAAATGTCATTGTCTTCCATCTTCAGGCTGCACAGTAAATTCTTGTTTGTTGTGACATGATTCAGAATTGATGCCGAGTGTTCAGTGGTTCTTGTTGCATTTTGTTGAGTTATTATGTTTTTTAATTGGAATCCATTAATTTCTATTGTGTTTTTATATATTTTAACTGCTTGCGAGTCTTTCAGCAGATCCAGATTCATGTCACCTATCAGGATGGTAGAATTTCTCTGCTGTTCCAGCAATTTATCTAATTGTGCTGTGAATATTTCATGATTGTTTTGTGGTGCTCTGTATACTGCATAGACAGTAAGGTTTTGTATGGGTAGGTAAACAGACACTATGTTGCAGTCCTCAATTTTTGGTATACGTTGCTCGTTCTGTATATAGCTCAACTCATTTCTTATATAAATGCTTATCCCTCCTCCTCGAGTATTTCTGGAATCGTGTACTGCATTGTATAAAGGTATATTAAAACTATCTTGCTCATTTGGGTACGTCCAGGTTTCTGTGAGCACTATCAAATGGATAGTTTTCCCACTAGTTAGTAATATATCATTTAAATCACTTAATTTATTCCTGAAGCTTCTAATATTTATTTACAAAATGTTCAGATTTTTAAACATAGCCATTTTAGCGATAGTGTTTTTTTTTTTTCGTTTCCGTTTTTGTATCACAGTGAAGACTGACTCACAGTATTAAGTCTTCCTCATTCCTGATTCTAGTTGATTGATCGGTTTCCGATTTCTTAAGATATATCTTGCCATTTGCAACATATCCCACATAACAAAATTGCATCCTTAGAATGTATTAAGAATGTTCTGAGAAAAGATTGTAGAAATACTGTTTGCAATACCCAAGAACTTCCT